GCTCTCCTTTTCCCACCGAATGGTGGGTTGGGCCGTCCCTTTAAACCCCCCCAACGGGTGGAAGGGGGGACCTGGTTTGGGGGGCGGAGATTCGAACCCGCTACCCTCAGATTGTGAGTCGAGCGCCCTAACCACGTGGTCATGTTGTAAAGACATTAGACATATGGGAAGACAGCTTCATATCATTACAAAATGGCGATTTTCTCACAGACAAGAAATTGAAATTATAATTTTTACCTCGAAGAAGGCCACAATTTTATACATTTAGGTGCAAATACGAGGATTACGGCTTATAATGGAACTAGACAGAAATAACCTGATTAATTACTTACAGAGCAAGCGATTATAAAATGCTCAATAACTTGTTCCGAAAAATGTATTTTTACCAATCGTTAGGAAATTAAGCGAAAAAAACTTTTGTTTTCAAGTAATTGTTTGTATATCTCGTATTCTGAATTTTATTCAACTGAAATTTTTATAATATTGTTAGTTTTATATAAAAAAATTGATCCTACGGTGACTCAGCGGCATATCTAAGGGCCTATGACACTAAAAATCTGGTTTCGATATCCACAGAGCACAAATAGCCCATTATCTAGCTTTGTGGTAAACGACAAACAAACAAATCTATAAAACATTTACAGGAAATCGAGCTCTTAGAATTCAGGTTACACATATATATGTTCAACAGTTAAGTCTTAAGCTCCTATAGAATTGTTATATAACATTTTGTCCATAGACCTTTTTACTTTGAACATTATGCTACTTAAAGTAAGTAATGAAATATGACTTGACAACACAAGTTTCTTTCCTGTTATTTGGATCAAAACGATTATAAAAAACGCAGATCAATAAATATATTTAAGCAAATACATTGTAACTCATAAAAGTAAAACTTAATTGAAGTTTAAAAAGTAACAGATTAGATATGATTCTTACTAGATATTATTAATTAGATTCGAATCGTGATTCGATAACTTGACAGGTAATCATGTTTTCAGGATGCTGACAAAAGCACATTCACCGAGGACAATTTTTCTGTGTCGAGAGGAACGCTAGAGATTCAGTAGTTGGGATAAGTCCGTAGAAGGTGGTCTTAGCCTAAACCTATTCATACTTAAATTCGATGACGTGGAACCGACATTGAGAATGCGAATGGGCACCTGATGATGACAAAACCTTGTTGAAACGTTGTACATTTGCTGTTATGTTAAACTTATATTAAAGTTTTTTCTTCATTACCCATTCAAGCCGTCTCCAAGCATTACTATTTATACTTAAAATAAAAATATGTTTATGTGTGTCGCCACAGTAAAGTCCTTATGTTTTTTCTGAACTAAGAAAATTAGATAAATACACGTTTTTCTTTATTTTCGAGTACTTTTTGTTTGTACATTTTTATCACTTTAGCACTCTGGGGCTCATGAAAGTTCACTGTCATGAAATGATAAGGGTTTATTTCAACTTATACTGCGGATTGAAAAAAGGCAAAAAATTAAACGTTTTCAAAAAAAAATGGAAAATAAAAAACACTAAATTATTTTATACGACTTCTAATCAGTTTGAACTATAATATAAAATATTTCTCTCATTTATATGCGCGTTTACCGTATACGTACCTCTCCTTGAAAACTTGAGAAATCTGGCACGTTACTACTTTTTTCCAGTTTTTATTTTAGTCTTTTGCAGAAAAGAAACTTGCAATTTTGACCAATGCTATCTTTGTCCTTTCTTTTTTAAGCAGATGGTTTGATATTGAATTAACAGTAATATTTTCCACACGTGTTTCTCTTTCATATAACACACATTGCAAAACAATGTATGTTTTCTGAATAAGTCATCGGCTTTACCATGACATGGAAAGAGTACATTGAAAGTGGCCGGGACCACGCAAAGAATGAAGAGCTTTGAAAGGTGTAGATGAAGAAAGGCAAAGAAACCCTAGAAAAAATGGTACGACACATAGAAACTTGGAGCGTATATGTAGCAATGATGACACAAACGCTGAAGAGGAAAAGACGGATAACTCTGTTACATTAAAAACGTTTACGTAGTTCGACATTAGTTCACTACCTATAATACTCTAATATTATCAGAAATTTCGACAAATATTCAAACTTAGTGAAAAATAAAGTTAACTGAAATGATAAGAAACATATTTAATTTTCTCTGCTGAAAATCGACAAAGAAATTAACTTCTTTTGTGAACGAGTAAATGAATTTTATAATTTCAGCTCTTTAAATACTATCCAAAATTTTTCTGACACTATTCCTGTTACATTAATGATAATCAAATTTCAAATAAAATGTTATTTATATATTGCCCACAGTGTAGTTATATCTATTAAAACACTCCCGATTGTCGTATATACAGTCAGCTTGCTAAAATAATTTTATTTTTCCAGATGACACACACACACACTGAGATAAGTTTATTTTAAATAATTTCTTTACTATTTGTATTGTAAACAATACACAAATATTATTATTTTTTTGTTAAATACTTTCTGTAAGCGCAGCATTAAACTGTAGTTATATTATGAATAATTTAACGTGGTGAAAATTCTTCGAAAGTTTTTTTCGTTAAGATTGTATTACATTAAACAATTCATTAACAAAGTAAACTCCTATGGTGATGTTAGCTCATCATTGTATAATGATTCAAAGATCATCACCAAGCAAAATAAGACATAAGACACGTATGACTGTGATAGAATGTAAATTTCATTAACCTTCAGTATACATAAATACCGAATACACCGGAAAACTGGAAGCATACATATACAATTATTAGTTGTATCGCTTCTTTGGTAACTTGTTCATGTCGTAATAATTGTATTTTCATAATTATCTCTTATAGAAAATTGTATTGTACTTTTGATAGCTTATGAAACCAGGAATGAAAAACAGATTTAAAGCTGTTAGTGGGATTAACATCATTTGCCACCAGAGGTCTTGATTCAAAGTAAAAGGCAATGAGCATCATCGTTGGTTTAATGATTTCAGACGCACAAAACCAATAAATGTATGAAACAATACAGTTTAAATGCTTTTGCATAAACTAGTTCAACAATATTTAGTTTATATCCAATAACACATGCAAAATAATTTGAAGTAAAGGACAAGGGAACGTTCAAGGTTTGCACCACTAGAATATAATAACATAATCAAGCATCAAAATAAAAATCACGTAACTATCAGAACGTAAATTGTAATGATGAAACGGCGTGGTATCTGAATATCTTGTAAACATGAATATCTTTCGTTGTGCTCAACAGCATGTTATCAAACAGTTATATTAATACATTGAGAATATTAAGCAAGAAAGACTTCAGCATTCTTTTCAGTTTGTAAATGCAGAGTCGTTGAACATACTAGTCTTTTTTTTTCTCTTCTACTCAACTTTTATCATCCTTCGTCATTTATTGTAGCAGAAACATATATTAACGTTACTTAATATGTATACCAATCTTCTAATGTTGGAAGAGGTCTAGTAATTCAAAACGAAGCATAAAATAGTTAATAAAGTTTGATTATCATGAAAGTCTTCTGGTAGTTGTTCATAAAAAAATAATAAATTATTTTCTATGAACCTATTCAATGGCTTAGCCGGATCCCGCCTTTCCTTGTTTCCGGAATCTATGGGCGGAGCTGATCGTTCAACTAAAATTAAGACATAATATTCGTTAGCATACTTAAACGCAAGGTTATAATCCAAAAGGACTACTAGCATTAAACACTTTCTGAAGTAATTTAGCATAAACCTATAAACTTTTATGTATTCAACAAATATTCCATTTATTATATTCTTGGGACCCCCTGTACAGCTCAACGGTAAACTTGTATTATCATTATTAACCATGATTGACAAGAACAGTTGCAAGCAAATACCTCTAACGAATGCGAATACTTCCCTTAAATCTATTTTTGATAACGTGTTTTTAAAAATAGCATACTGTTGTTAACATACGTGAAAAATACACCCAACAATCAGTAATACTTAAACTCTATAGAGATGTCGTTAAAACTGCACAGTGTTTTCAGTGTGTCGTTATTAGATTTTTTGGTATCAAGAGCATTGTCATTTTTTTTAACTAGCTTCTTCTATTTAAGTTCACAATACCTTATTTATATTTAAAATGTTAATATTTTCCTAGCTTTAAGAGAAAACAATTGAAAACAAGAACTAATTTATTTTTTTAATTGATAAAAACACGTTAAAAGTTATTTATTTAAATAGTATGAAAATTTTGAAGATAAAATTATTTTCAGTTTATCCTTACATAATGAACGGCATAACATTCACTCAGAGGGACAGTTGTAGGTTTACAGACTTACAGTGCTAAAATCTGGGGTTCGATTCCGAGCGGTGGACAGAGAAAGTAGTTCAATGTGACACTGATTTAAAACAACCAAACATATTATCCTGTTTGAGATTTTTAGATTTTTCGGTTCATTCTTTCATGACGCATGACTAAACATTTTCAGAGTCTGTTAGTCTGTCTAAAGTTTCATACCAGTAGCTTTTTCTCAATTACTGTTATCCCACTTCAACTGGATAAGTATATAATAATCACTTTCAATTCAAGCCATAAACATTATAATAATCAGAATAATTAACCCAAATATCATTATTATTACAAAGAAATCGCGTAATATCACCGTATATTGCACTGAATACATGCATACCAATAGTATTAGAGCGTTTCAACAGTATTAGGACTTAATAGTGACGTATAACAAAAGCTCTGAGCTGTTTATTGTATTAAGATGTGGTGAAAATAATTTTATAGCAGTAAATCTGACACTACATAATTACACAAATGACAGTCTTAAAAGTTCCAAAACGTCTGGTGTTTAAACAATTGGACAGTCGCACGACTCTCAACAATTTCATGACTGGAAATCATCTAGTGGGACGTTAGAAATAATTTTAATAAGAGTAAGTAAACCTGTAATTTTAATGATTTTTTAAACAAAAAAACAGGACTTAATAACGTCCCATAAAAATTACAACACATATGGTGTGTAAACAATTAACGATAACAAAAATGGTTCTGTTCATGCAGCGTATTAATACAGACTTTTAGATATTCACAATTGTATTTTTAGTCAGAAATATATATATATATATATATATGTTAAAATAAATGTATTAATAAAGATACTTTTTTTTGTTTAGTTCGTTTCTTTTAGTACTTATAACACATGGAAGATTGATACTGTAAGGAATATTTTCCACACTATTAAGCTTTCCATTTATTGCTATCTGATGTAATTTTTATTACACAATAGATGATAAGAATGTGTTTTTGACTACTTAATTCAACACCTATAAACTTGTTTCTCTTATTAACAACTAGCTGTGTAAGACCTAAGGGTAGAGTTCTAACTTAAATTCACTGACTCAAGCTGGGTAATAGGATTAGTATTGCTTATCTCTTTAAACCTAAACTTTCACAAGGTCTTTACGCTTCAAATGTCTTCAAAACTTATCTTTCTCGATACATATTGTTTGCTGCATTCTCATATTTACTTGTAAATGATTTTAAGAGCCCTCTTTATCCAGTAAAATAAACATTCGAGTAAACCTTAAATCAATAACATAATTTACGCATAATAAGAAAAATAAACATTCAAATATTAGCTTTACACAATGAGTTAGAAGTACCAATCTTAGCTTCTACAGTAATAAACGCTACCCACAATGAGTTAGAAGTACCAGTCTTAGCTTCTACAGTAATAAACGCTACACACAATGAGTTACGAGTAACAATCTTAGTTTCCACAATAACATATCAGAAAAGAATTGGAAGTCTAGTAAGTACAAGAACAGGATGCGCAGTGAACAATATTTTTAACAACCCTGTAGATGGCAGGAATCTGTCGACATGTCATATAAAAAGAAAATATTTTAAAGTACGGAATGATGGTCTGGATAAGTAGATATTGGTCTAAACGTAACCCGGGAAAAAAGTAACCAGAAATATATCTAGTAATGAACAAACTCGTCAGATACTACGTCGTTCACTGCATCGCAAGAAAATATCTTCGCATGCTCACATATCAGTTTTTTATTCCTGTGCTCGATAATATGTTCTTTATTAAAGTATGATTACGATATCAAGTTTCTTTCTTACATCAGTTAGCCGGAGTATAATCTAAAACTGTGTGACAGATAATGTCCACTGGTCACACTACGAATCAGTTAAAGCTTTCAGCATTTCTTGGTAAAATATATAATTATTATAAGATCGATGGCTCTAATCCATTTAGCAGTTAGTTAGCCGCTAACTTACTTCAACATCGATGTGCCTGTATATCTCTTTGACTATCTGTCTTTTTACCTCTATATATATATTGCAGTCTATCTTTTCCCTCTCTGGCTTACTTAACTGTGTAGATTACTAATGACAGAATGAAAGGTAAACGTGTGTTATATCAAATCTATTACAATAATTGTCTTGGTATTTACGTAAAAGCGAACGAACCATCCTACACGAGTAAGATACGAGCCAAGAAACCGAAGGCATTCATTATAAACGCTGTCCGAAAGAAACGCCCTTATTCAGGACAGGTGGGATTCCTTGAGATGTCATTGTAGACAGTAATTTACAGATCTCCGTGAAACAGATTATCACAGCTCCATTAAATCTCTGTCCGTCGCGCCCTATTCATGTAATTATCTATGGAATGAAATAAATTATGAGAAAGTCGAGCATTCAGCAATAGGAAAATGTGTAATTTAAATAAGAATAAAAGTTGAGTATAGGTTGCACTTTAAATATACAGGGTTCGTAAAATGTTATCCACGTCATTTTTCTTGTAAGTATTCCTTTAAAACATCTCCCTATCAATAGCATTTTACTTCTTTGTTGATGTTGAGAGGTATTGTGTTTATCATAAGAAGTTTATTTTTGAAAGGATATGGGTTTTCTAATAAGGAGTTAAACCAAAAGAAATTTGTTTTTGAAATGGGTATGATTTTTGAATCATGAGTTATATCATAAGAAGTGTGTTTGTGAAAGGGATGATTTTTGAATAACGAGTTATATCGTAAGAAGTTCGTTTGTGAAATGTTATGGCTTTGAATAATGAGTTACAGTCTTATAGATATCCTTCTGATGAACAACAAGGTAAGATTACATATAAAATTGCACTTGTTCCGAGAAATATTTTCATCCATGTTTTAAATTTTATCGTGAGAAATAAGGAGAAATGTATAATCTAAAATAAATCAATTTTCAAAATGATAAAAAGTTACAAGAAAAATAATGACACTACAAGCATCGAAGATATAATAATAACACTTCTGTACTTACCCTAAGGTCGTCATGGTAACGATAGTGTACCAGAAAGCTGATGGAATGCTAGTGAAGTTAGTTTTATCAACGTTTTTCTCAGCATAAAACATAACCGTAGCGAAAATAATGATGGCCATGGCCAATGAGAAGACTAGAAACCCCAGTTCTGAAGCGCAGCTCTGTAAGGTATACCCCAAGATACGAAGTCCTTGTGAATGACGGGAAAACTTGAAAATCCGAAAGACCCGGAAAACTCTCAGCGTAACGAAAGCTCCGGACAAGTCCTCGTTATCGGTGAGACCGAGACTGATATAGTAAGGAAGGATCGCCACGACATCGATGATTGACATGACACTTCGCATGAAGTGGCACCTGCTAGGCGCTGCATATAAACGCAACAGGTATTCAGCCGTGAACATCAGCACGCAGGCAGTGTCCAGGCAGAAAAACGCGATCTTGTATGTCTCTCCACATGAGAGAGAATCTTCTTGGTCAGGTATGAACCCACACGGAACAGTCTCCACCACGTTGGCCATCACGGACACCGCAATGAAAAACCCCGTTACGTAATAAAACACCAAAGCCGCCGTGCTGGTGTGGGGGTTCTCAAAGGCCCGCCACATCTTCTCCCTTATCGTATAGTTGGAAGTATCAACTTGTTCATTGACCTCTGATAACTTGTCGTCCATGATTCGTTCGACGTTCTCCCGTTTCTTGTCCCTGTAGTCCTCGTAACAACAATCGCCGATAACATCTGGAATAATCCCAAAAAAAGCCAGCTCCTCGTCGAAAGCCATGAGGCACTCATATTTCGGGAAATGCAACCTTCCCGTTCGGTAGTAATTCAGGACGTGGCGAAATAGATGAGGATCTCTGTCAAAGAAGTATTCTTGATTTTCTTCGTCGTAGAAAAATTCTCTCTCATTTGATCCTAACAGTGTATCGGAATATTTTTCCACTGTATTCCTCCAAGTTTCGAACTTGCAACCGCTGACGTTGATGGTAAATTTTTCATCCTGTCTACCTTCTTTTTGTTTTGTAATCGGTGGTGCAGGCAGAGGGTTGTTAGCAATGGGAACCCATCCTATCGCAGCCGCTCGGGCGAAAGGCAGCCAAGCTGCAACAGAGGCCATGTTTCTCGCCTCTAGGAGTAGCGGAACTAAATCTTAGTGCTAGGTATAGGTGGTAGCGTACGTGGATGCTACTACTCCGTTGTATCTGCGTACTTCAGGAAAGCACGAGGATTGTTAGAGTTAAATGTTCTGGAATCGAATGAAATGACATTAAATCACTTTTATGACAAAGATATGTGCATTGGCATTGGTTCATAATTTTTAACAACGCTGACGATTCACATGATTCGATTGTAGATTATTTACTTGGCTTCATTAATTCTTTCCTAACATCTTTATTTCCCCATTAGCCTAGTGAACAGCGTTGAACGAAACTAAAACTGTTCTAGGATACCCGACGAAGGTTCTCAGTAGGTATAGCAGCGCCATTATGTGGAGAAGCCACCGTGCGCCGACCACGTCGAGAGCCTTATGGATGCGCACTGACTGCGGCACCCTATCAACCTCGCAATCGTTCTTGTTGTTGCGTGCACTGTGCGTGGCGATGAACGTGAAAGGTGCGCGTGCAAACGTTGAATCTCACGTGGGTATTCATACCAACTAGATCATGTACTGGATTTTAACCTTGGCACTGACTTACGAGTTGTATATTTACATACGTTGGGTATCGTACAGTGCTAGCTAGAGAAGAGTATTATGACCAAACCCTGACGTTTCAACTGTAGTAAATGTTACATCCCATCTAATTCCCGTATATAATAGTATATTTTGTTAAGAGTTACTCATCGCGGTGTGGCTCAGCCGTTATCATTACTCTCGAGTTTAACGCTTCTTATTGCAAATGAGAGCCGAAAAACCCAATTTGAAGGTACTTTATGCTGAAGTTGATTGTTCTTAAGCCCTACCTTACATATTCTTAATTTTTCGCGCAAAGTTATGTCATTCCCAGGCAAAAGGGGATCGCGGGTGACCGCAGGCTTCATCTAGTCCCGGCGGTCACCATAGTGACAATGACGTCAGCAAAGGTCGGCATTAAACAGACGAATCACCACGCAGAAATTGTAAGCACCTTCACTCACTTCTTATTCCTTAAGCACTATTTTTTATAGAAACTTCGTAACCTTTCCACAGCAATTCTGTGAGCCATTGCTTGGAAATTGGAAGATATCAACTGAGCTCGGCTAGGTTTAGGTTTGAGAAACTACAGTAAATAATGTAGTGTGAGAAAAAGTCGATTGAGTAATATACCTTCTTATTTGTTGGAATTCTCGTTAAGCAAGTTTTTATAAAAACTTCTTACATGTATATATATATATAAGTAAAAAATACAACATTAATATCAATACACTAAGTAATGGAGCAAACTTTAGGATGACAGAACGTTTTACTTGAAGAACATGATACAATATATATGTTTTTCACTTACCAAGAAAAGGAAAGAAAGGGGAAAAAAGGTAAATTTCCTAAACGTTTATTTAGCGAAAAACTATATAGCAGCTGAAAAACCTTAGTAAAATGATTTAAAAACTACCAAATGAACAACATTTGATGTAGATTATGTGTATATAGAAATATTTGTTTTAAATCTTACCATCTTTTTTACTTGAAGTTTTGAAGCTAGAGCCCAAAGTTAAGTAAGAATCCAAAGCTCTTGTATTTTGTTATAGTTTATTGTACAGACGTTTTACTTCTTATTATCGAGTTTTTATACAGTATATTTGCACTCTTATATGTAGATGTGTGAGTATTGAATTATTTCCATGTTTAGTTTTACTGTAATATAGAAAAGTAATGCGCAAAAGTAGTTTTTACAGTAAGTATCACAAATGTTGAAACTCAAATTTCCATTTTGAGAGTAATACCTTATATTAACCACAGATACCATTATTATAATCTTATTAAATTTGCCTAAAATCTTGGAGTATTTTAATTATTACTCTAGTCCATAAGATATTACCGGTTTAACAAAGATTAAGATCGAACGTCATCTTTCTTTTACAATCATACACCAACTCTACGAAATGTCAAGTAAACACAATTCAGTGGACCATTGAGATTTAATTGTAAGCTAATCATATAAAGCTGAATATTGTTACATAACAACAATCGTTTAATCAGAAAAACCTTATAAATGCATTGTAATGCTTATTATTAAAAAATTTATGTGAGCTTATGGAATGTTTATGGTAAATGAGCACTCCATATAGTTGGTGCTATTCTTGTGGTAGGTGTTTTCACACATCAGAATAATTTATTCATTTATAGATACTCAGAATTCTTCTTATGATTCTTCTCTTGATAAATTCATTTTTCCTTTTATGATGCCCCCCAGTGGCACAGCGGTATGTCTGCGGACTTACAACGCTAGAATCCGGGTTTCGATACCCGTGGTGGGCAGAGCACAGATAGCCCATTGTATATGTTTGTGCTTAATTACAAACAAACAAACCTTTTATGACGATTGTTTAGTATCCAGCTTTTCCAGACTTTTGAAACTGGTATCCCATAGAATGTTAAAATTTAAAATGTAATAGTAGGCTCTATCATTTTCACATTTTCACTCTATAGAATGTACTTTAATAAAGTGTCGCATATAGAAGTATGTTAGATAATGAGAAATTTAGAGCTTTTTTTTTCAGTATGCGCAGGGTATTTTGTCTTTCAGCTGCTACTAATGATTGGTTCCTTTAAAGGTTGAATTAGCCTGTAGCTTCCAGTTTAATTCTTTATACGTAATCAAGACTCCCGGCAAAAAATAAACCATTTTTTTCTTTGCAAAATTCTATCATCTCGTTCCATAAATAACCTTGCCATATCTGGTATAGTTTATAATAGAGTTCTAATAGGATTTATGAGAACAAAATCCAAACGTAACAAATAATCTGATAATACAGACTGACTTCCCTACTTTACAATTATAGAAAGGAATAAACTTATTTGTTGATGGTTTTTTTTTATAAACTGATCAGTGTTTTGTTTTCTTTAGCTTCTGTGCATCATCCAATGCAAAAGCCCCCAGTGGCACAGCGGTATGTCTGCGGACTTACAACGCTAGAATCCGGGTTTCGATACCCGTGGTGGGCAGAGCACAGATAGCCCTTGAGTAGCTTTGTGCATAATTAAAAACAAACAAACAAACCAATGCAAAAAACAAATAGAAAATCAATTATTTTCTTTCATGATTGATCGTTAAGCTTCAATCGATGTTATAGGTAAAATCCAATTAATCACAATATTTGTAACTGTATATACTGTTCCATAATATCCTGGATAAACAAATCGATAGGTTTTGGTTGACGGTTGAAAACTACTTGATTCTTCGGTGTAATTAATCTCCAGATACATTTTTGAAAGTTTTGATATCTCTCTTATGTCGACGCTTATCTTTACGAAGTAAATAAAGAAAATCAGTTCATGAAGTTTCGGTTATTTTGTGTAGATAGTTTTTGCTCAAGGAAAGCTTTATCGTATGTCTCTTCATATTTTTCAATAAAGAATACCCGAAAAAAAATCATTGTTCCTAAAACTAGGCTACTAACTCTTTCCAAAGCTTGAGAAGAATTTCAATATTAGTTTTTTTATATGTAATGACGTAATTACAGTGAATATTTATATATTTTTTTATTTTGCTTCA